GTTAATGATAGTTTTGATCCTCATGATGTAAGAGGATCAGCAAGTGTCAACTTCCTTGGTGGACTACGTAATGCAACTTCTGATCCACCAGGAACAAGATCATTTGATATAAGAGTTGATCAGGTATTGTTACTATAAACTCACTTCATAGATTCTTTTATCATCCTGCATATAGATTACTATTCCAAGCAATGATACAACATATTGGTGTGCAGGCTTTGAATTTCCTCAAGATATACAAAACAGTGAAAAATACATAATACGAGTGAGTGAGTTGCTCTGCCATGCATTGTTATCATAATTACACTATTATGCCGCAGTTTTCACCCCATGTGACTCCAGCCAACACAGCACATGTTCATCACATGCTAGTTTATATCTGTGACTCACTGAATACAACAGATCCTGGTGGTCCTTGCGAGGATGTCAGCGATGGACTCTCATCTTGTCTAGGTGGGACTTTAATTGCAGCATGGGCTGTTGGAGCACAAGTAAATGATATTTATCATCTTTATGCTATCTTTCATTTTAAACGCAGGATTTCATATATCCACCTAATGTTGCCTATGGACTGGGAGGCAATGAGTATCGCTATGCACTCATTCAAATGCACTATGATAACCCAAACAGACTATCAGGTTAGCTAGTTACACTAAGATTAGTGTCTACTCATAGTTATTGTAGGGGTGATTGATAGTTCCGGTATGACATTCTATTACATTGATACACCAAGGGAGCATAATGCTGGTATTCTTCAAGTTGGACATGCAGTGAACCAATACATGATAATACCTCCTAAAGCAAGGAATTATACTATATATGGCTTCTGCTCTTCCACTTGTACTGAGGTATGGTATGCATTAATTTTATGCAATAATTCTATGATGTTTTAGAACTTTCCTGAAGAAGGTATACACATATTTGCTAATGCACTACACACTCATTTGCTTGGTGTGGGTGTTAAGCTGTATCATCTGAGAGTTACTGATCAATGTAGATCAGGCAGTGGCATTGAAGAGCTGAAACCAATTGATTCCAATCCTTTCTATGACTTTGACTTTCAAGAAGTAGTCCATTTTGATGAAGTCACTGTCAAGCGGGTATGATCATTTGGTTAGAGAGTCTTTTAATCACTTATAACTTCAATAGGGTGACATGCTTGTGCTGACATGTACTTATGACAGCACAAATGAAAATGCAGTAACATTGGTAAGATACTTGACATTACTGTGTAAATTTTATTGTATATATAGGGAGGAGAAAGCACTCATGAGGAAATGTGCTTGACATTTCCATTTTATTATCCTAGTGGAAGTCTCACTCATTGCATGAGTACAGCTAATGTTATTACATTAGCACCATTCTTATCAAGATACTACAAGTATGTACATGTACAGCATTTGCACCAATTTCTCATTTATTATTATTATTATTATCAATATAGTTCATCTCAATTAAGTGCATTGCAATATGCACCAGAATCCCTCATTAGTCAGATCTTCAATAACATTGATTGGTCACCTGAGGAAATTCAAAGATTGGAGAGTTCTGTTTTGAGTAGCAGTCAGTATGCTTTTTGTCCTGAACCTGTAAGTGTATTATGACTATTGTTCTGATATTGTATGTATGTTATACCCCCGGTATAGGGTGTGCCTTTTAATGAGAGTCTCACATTTGAACCTGTACCGTCTATTGGTTGTCCTTATGAAGCACCTCCTGTAATGCTGGAGTGTCCTAACTCTATTGATCCTACCACTGATCCTACCAGCGGTGCTGGTGCTGTGTCATTGATTACTCTCTCAGTCACAGTGCTGCTCTTTGCTATGATTGCAATGATCCTCATTAATTAACTCTTTCTCCTACTCCATTTTTGCTGTTTTTTGTCTTAGATTATCGAACAGGGATTGGACTTTTTCTGCCCTTTTCATTAATTTGTGCCCCTTTTCATCTGCTGCATTAACCCTCAATTATGATAATAATAATTTTATTTATGATAAATCATGGTGTTTTGTGAACACAAATAAATTAAGAAACAACATATAATCATGTGATCATGTGTGTATACGTAGGATAGCATAACAGTATTGTTTATACAATTAGTTACAGTTGCTGCATTGCCAGGCTACTCGAGACTAACTGATCCCAGTCAGCCCCCTTACTGATTGAAGAAGATGGCTCTAACTTCCTCTCTTTATTTGATTACTCTTCTGCTGGACCTGCCTTGTTGCTTGGGTCACATGCACCTTGAATCTAAGTACAACTTTAGGAAGGTTCTCCATCCTCAACCTCAATATACTCTCTACTGGAACTACAATCCAACAGACAGTAACCTTACCTTTGCAGTCAGAGTAC